CAAAAAACAAATTGATGCCTCATTGTGCCATAAATCTGTGCAAAATGAGAAGAAAAGATACAACGTTGATTCAGATGACTCGAAACTCCTTAATGTAATAGAAACTGAAATTGGGTTCAAGGAACCCAGCAAGGGGGTTCGGTGAGGAACCCAATTGTTGGGTTCCTTGCAGAGCCCAGATTTGGGTTTCACAAACCCAGCAATTGGGTTCTGCCTGGGTTTTGCAAACCCAGGTTTTGGGTTCCTCACGGAACCCCCTTGCTAGGTTTGCGGAACCCAGATCTGGGTTCCGCGAAGAGGTTCCACGAACCCAGCAAAAGGGTTCCCTGAGGAACCCAAAACTTGGGTTCGTGAAACCCACAAGGAGCCTAGCAACTGGTGAGGATGAGTATGATGCCGTGGATGAGGAGAAAGAAGATGATTAAGAAATTAAAATTAATCCTATTTAAATTCATTTAATTCATGAATAAAAAGCAAAATTTTTAATTTATACAGATGGCATTCACGTAATTTCGACATTATTTATAATATCATTTATATAAAAGATAATTAAAAGATTCCATTAATTAACCAGTCACATCAGCTAAAATTTAACAGAGGGACTAAAAAAGGACCGGATTTGTAAACAATAAGGACCAAAAAAGAGATTTTTTCGATAGAAGGACTAAAAATGGGCTTTTTCTATAGTAGAGGGACCAAAAAGGGTATTTAACTTTCTATTTATTTTGCTTGATGAATGTGTTTCTGGCTAAAATGAGATGCAGCCGGAATGAACCGTTAATTTCCTTTTGCTGCTGTTTAGATTCTATTTCTTTCTAATGTTTGATCTGCTTTTGTCTATTTTTGGTTAATAGTTCATGTTTTTGGGTCAGGTAGACCCGACCCAATCCAATAGATTTAAAAAAAAAAACTAAAAGAAGGGTAAAAGGTAAAAAATATATATATAAGTTTTATTAATTAATTAGGTGAGTTTAATTTATGATTAATGAAGTTAATTAATCTTAATTAAAATAAATTAATCATATTTATTGAATTTGATTTAAGGTAATCAGATTTATTTAATTATCTCCGTTAATGATTAGTAAATGTGATTAATTAATTTTAATTAATTTTAATTAATGTTAAATTAATTATTAAATTAAACTAATTATCTTGATTAATTAATTTTAATTTTCAATTAACTTTAATTTTGGTCAAAGTCAAAATTATCTCTTGTATTTCAAGTTTACCCAAAATTTTATGATTAACCAAATCATTCCATTTAACTTTTCGTTTGTGGTTGTGGTGCATGCATGTTCTTGATTTTGTCTATATTAATCCAAAAATTTGAAAATGTTTCAATTTGGTTTATCCCTTTTTTAGTTTGCCTATTAAGACTTAAACAAAAATGTAATGAATAGGTTGAATTAAAACCCTAATGTTAAAATATGCAACTGTGTTTAAATAAAGGATTGTGAGGTGCACGTATGTCCTTCCTCACTTCTAATCGAACTCCCGAACCTTGATCTTTGCGTAGACTCGTTTTAAGGTGACTTGTCCCACTTTATAATTTGGACGAGTGGTGACTCCTTTTCTTATATATTTCACACCTAAAATTTTTCATTATTTTGAAATTTTAAGTGTGGTCGTCAATAGATTGGCGACTCCACTAAGGATCAAACCCAGAATCACTGGTTTCCATATTTTGGGTTCACGAGGGTCAAGCTAATACTTTAATTTTGGAGAATTTTTCAGCTTTTTATTTTCTTTGTTTGTTGAGTCTTTGTTGGTCTTTGTCCCTTATTGCACGTGCTTGTTGCGTGTTACTTGTTGCTTGTTTGCTTGTTTTGTTTTCTTGGTTGTTTTTATTGTTTTTGCCTTTTAAATAATTATCTTGCTACATCTTGACATGCATCATACTCCCTTCACTTGCACATGCATCATGCTTATTTGCTTATCTACCTGCTTGTGGGTGTGCTTACTTTTTGCATTTGGCATTCGAGTACTAGGTGAGTTCCTGCTTGCTGTGTAAGTAGGTTTCTTTGTGGATGCTATACTTGTTGGGTGATTTATATGCTTGATTTGCTTTTATGTTTTATCTGTTTGCTATGGGATATTGTTGCTAGTTTAGCTTGTTTTGTGCAAATTATTGGAGTGACATGCCCTTTGCACACACTTACTTGTGTCATGAATTAGATTTGTGTATGAGGTAAACTCGACCTCTAAGTCTGGAATCCTTACGAATCTGACTTGGTAGAGCAATTCTTCCCACCTTGAGGAGTAACGTCAATTCTCGTTAGGTTGCTTCCATTCATTAATACAACACTTGGTGATGTAATATTGCCCTTTGTATTAGCATTTGGAAATATCTCCCATTGATTCTAAAAAGACAAATGGTTGATAAGGCCTAACGCCCTTTAGTAAAGCATGCATTGAACTTAAAGAGAAGCCACCCATAGGACTTGTCAGCCTAGAAGGCCACCATTGAGGTTAGGATTCCTGGGTCTAGGTACACAAGGGGGCATTTTACATCTTACCTTACTTTCTGCACTTGTAGGTATTCATTGAGTCAACTGTGTTAAGTATCATGACATCCATCACGTTCATTCGTTCCATGCACTTTGCTTTTCACTTTCTACTCAATATTACATGCAACCATTCACTTTGGCACTTTCACTTTCTATTCCATACATCATAAAAAAATTACATAATTGTTTTACATGTCATATGCCCATTCCATTCATTTCACATTAAATCTTCCATTTATCATCAACCTTTCACTTGTCATTCGTTATTACATTGCATTTTCCATTGCATGCATCACAAAATATGTTTTCATGATCATTTCACATGACATTCTCCATTTTATTCATTTTACATTTCATTTTTCATCTCATATTTCACAAAATTTCCAAAAAAAAAAAAAAATGAAAAATGAAATTCCACTCATGTTCATTACATTACATCTTCCATCTCATATATATATATATATATATATAAATTGCCAAAAAAAAATATTAATTCATATTCACTTCACATTGCATTTTCCATCTCACAAGTTATTTCAAGCATTACTACTTCCATCTCGTACTTCAAAAAAAGAAAGAAAAATTACATGGAAACAAAGTTTCACCAATTTTGATTTTTAATCTCATATTTCTTTTTAAGCATTACTATCTCCATCTTATATTTCTCATGTTTCATAAAAAAAAAAAAAAATTGCATCCATGTTCATTTCACTTCAAACATTACTATCTCTATCTTATATTTCTCATATGTCCTAAATTTTATAAAATTGCATAGAAAGGAGAATCTCATTCATGTTCAATTCACATTGCATTTTCCATTCCACTTTTCATCACAACTCATATTCAAACTTACATCACATCTTCCATCTCACATCAAATTGACATTCATCTCATACTCATTTCATGTTTAGAATAAAGTTCAATTTGGTTCTCATATTTTCTTGTTTTTCAATTAAGTCCTTCAAGTCATGGTTTTCTATAAAAATTGTCCAAACTCTCATTCAAAGAAATTCTCATCATCTTACATTTTCTACGCAAAATTCACACTTGCATGTTTCAAACCTTTTGGCCTTATCCAATTAAATTCAAAGCATTTTACAATTTGTAAAAAAAAAAAAAAATCATCTTTTTTTTCAAACTTCATGACATTTGTTTGTTTTCACCAAAAAGGACTAAATTGAACTTCATTAAAATATGTAGACCAAATTTACATTGTACTACAAATTTCTCATCATCCTTGCATGTTCATTAGTTCATAGAAAGGAAAATACCTAGATCCAAATTTTGTTTCTTTAAGCATAAAAAAATTTTTCAAATTCAATTCTCTTATTACTTTAGTTCACATTTTTTTTGTTACCTTCAAAATTGCTCACAAGAAGAGAGTTTGTTTTAGATGCTCACAATTCTATAGTTACTCAATCTAACTCACAAGCAATGACAAGTCCTCAACAAAACTTGTAATACAATGATCAAGTTCAAACTTGAAGGATTTTTGAAGTAATGATCTATGTTAGCTATCTCTATTTTCTATCATTTGTAGTATGAGTAAATCAAAATGCATCATTGATTCTGCTCAAGATCATGGTTAAAGTAAAATAATGGGCACATACTCATTAAAGTTTCATATGTTATGACTTGCTTGATATGTAAGTACTCTCATCTCAGAAGTTAATATATTACTTTCTCATGTTTCATGTTTTCATAATTCCATTGCACAACTTCCTTACTCATTTCTTATTCAAATAATTCTTTGCTTCTTGATGGATTAGATCTTTTCTTTCTAAGGATATGTTGATGATATCTAAATTCAAGGTGTAAGATCTAAGGGCGATGATGCAAAAAAAAAAAAAAGAAAAAGAAAAAAAAAGGTGAGAAAAGCCACAAAGGAGTTCAAAGGTGGAAAGGTTCAATGAAGAAAGGCCATGTTTCTTTATCCCAAACACAAATATCATCCATAGTTACCCACTTTGAGCCAAAATAAAAGGCAAATATCAAGAATAAAAGTCAAAGTGATCATTTCTTTGATACTTGCATCAAGAACTTGGGGAGTGTTGAGTGCAAAGTGAGGGGTATGCTAGCTTAAGCTAAGTGATTGTCAATCATTCAAGAATGCTAAAAGTTTAAAATCTAAGGATAAAAGGCCATCTTTAATTACCCTTACTTCTAAATAATTAAACTCAAAGAGACTTATCTTTAGTCAATTAATTTAAGCCTAAAAATTGTCAACCTTTTCGTGGATACCATTCTAAAACCCAGAAATTTAGTTGCATGCCTGGAGTAGTCTCTTCCTACAAACAAAAACAAAAAAAAGAAGAGAGGAAAGCCCATGCAAATGTTAAAAAAAATTCAAAATAAAATAAAGATTCTACAAGAAAGCAAAATTGAGTGATACAAAAAAAAAAAAAAAAACAAAAGAGGGTTCAAAATAAGTGAAGCTCCTAGTAAAGGCATGCAACTTGGGAGCAAATTGGGAATTTGAGCTTTTAATGACCATTCTTTTAATAACCATACCCCAAACCCCATTACAACCCAAAGCAAAAGTCTTTTATGAAGGTTTTGAAATTTTAGATGTTTTGATGATTACAGTCACTAGGTTGAAGATAACATGGGGGGCATTTTGAGCTTAATATCATTCTTTTCAAATTAACCAAGCTAATGACCACATTACAAGACAAAAACAAAAAGTCCTTATCAGATGATCTGAAAGCTTTTGAAATTCCAATGTGATTTGAGTGATAAAAATCTATGATTGTCTTAAAAAGCGAGGGGTAAATTTTGAAAAATTTGAAGTTGAGCCATTCAAATGATTCAATGATGATCCATGAGTTGAAGATATCATCTTTATATTTTATGAAAGAAATGATGATAATTTGTTAAGATAACAAGGAAAGGATTCTTCTTCTCTATTAAGAATTTCAAATCTTTCATCTTTTTTGAAGAATTCCATACCTTTCATCTTAATCATGTCATCCATTCATACCTTTCATTTAGTCTCTCTTTGTTCGTATCATCATACCCTCATTTGACTTAACATTCATATAGAGTTCCCTTATAAAAAAAAAAACAAATAGCTTTTGTTTTATTCATGCTACTTATAAAGAAAGTAGAGAAAGCTCACATAGAGTCAAAGCAACAACAATCCCAAGGGAATGAACTTAATTGTTGTCATGCATAATCATTTTGAGCAGTTAACATGTGATGTATTTAGAATATCTAGTTTGAAATCCAATTGATGTGAGCTTATAGCAATTTGGATGACTAAATCAATTGATGAATAATCTGCATTTCTAGACTATACAGAGAAGGATTCATACTTCTTTTGCTTATGATATGATTAAGTCAATTATAGATACAAACATGTAATACAAACTTCAAACTGGGGGACAATTGCGAACCTAAGGTATATTCTTTTCTTAAAAGATCTACATCTAAACATGACAAGGTAAAACCATTTTCAAAATCCTTCATGACATTTCCAAAAGCATTTCTATAAAAGGTAATTTCTCAACTTATTTTCAAAAGCAATTTTTTAATTCATTTTTCAGGATCATTTTTCTCAATCATTACATCTCTTATCAACTAAACATTCCATAACATTTTTCTACCAACATGACATATCAACATAACATTCCATTTCATTTTTCTACTAAATAAGCATTCCATTACATTTCTCTACTAACATGACATTTTACTTCTTTTATCTACAAACATGACCCTTCACATAACTTTTCATGCAAACATTCAAGCTTTTTCATATCATTCAACCCAACATGTGGCTTCCATAACATTCAGTCTAACACACGGCTTGCATTTCGTTAGCCCAACATGCGGCTTTGCATATCATCAGCCCAACACACGGCTTTGCATTTCATCATGCCTAACACGCAGCATTGCATTTCATTTAGCCCAACATGCGGCTTGCATTTCATTAACCCAACACGCGGCTTGCATTTCATCAGCTCAACATGTGGCTTTGCATTTCATTCAAACCAACATGCAGCTTTGCATATTATTCAGCCCAACATGTGGCTTTGCATATCATTCAGCCCAACACACGGCTTGCATATCATTCAGCCCAACACGCGGCTTGCATATCATTCAACCCAACAGGCGACTTTGCATTTCACCATGCCCAACACGCGACATTACATTTCATTTAGCCCAACATGTGGCTTGCATTTCATCAGCCCAACATGCGGCTTTGTATATGATTCAATTTGACATAAGGCTTTACATTTCATTCAGCCCAACATGCGGCTTTGGATATCATCAGTCCAACACGCGGTTTGCATATCATTCAACCTAACACGCGCTTTGCATATCATTCAGCCCAACATGCAGCTTTGCATTTCATCATGCCCAACACGCGGCATTGCATTTCATTTAGCTCAACATGCAGCTTGCATTTCATTAGCCCAACATACGACTTGCATTTCATTAGCCTAACATGCGACTTTGCATATGATTCAACCCAACACATGGCTTGCATATCATTCAGCCCAACACGTGCTTTACATTTCATTTAGCCCAACATGCGGCTTTAGATGTCATCAGCCTAACACGCGACTTTGCATTTCATCATGCCCAACATGCGGCATTGCATTTCATTTAGCCCAACACGTGGCTTGCATATCATTCAGCCTAACATGTGGCTTTACATTTCATTCAACCCAATATACGGCTTTGCATATCGTTAGCCCAACGTGCGGCTTAGCATTTCATTCATGCCCAGCACGCGGCTTGCATTTCATTAGCCCAACACACGACTTGCATTTTATTCATGCCCAACATGCGGCATTGCATTTCATGCAGCCCAACATGTGGCTTGTATCTTATTCAGCCTAACACGCAGTTGGCATGTCATTCATGCCCAACATGCGGCATTGCATATCATTTAGCCTTACATGCAGCTTTGCATTTCATTCAGCCCAACACGTGGCTTGCATCTCTTTTAGCTCAACATGTGGCTAGCATCTCATTCATGCCCAACATGCGGCTTCGCATATCATTTAGCCCAACATGCGGCTAGCATTTCATATTGCCCAACATGCGGCTTTACATCTCATTTGCCTAACATGCAGCTTTTCATTTCATATTTGCCCAACAAGCGGCTCTTTTGCATTTTCATCTGCTTGGCATCACATATCTTTACATTTCATATTATCATTTCTTTCTTTTATTTCCAGTTGCTCAAAAATCAAGCTTATATAGGTCAAATCTCTCCTTATTTTATCTTTCTCTCCATGTTTTAGTTAAAATCGGTCTATTCTTTTATCTTTACTTTTCTTTTCTAATGAAAGAAAAGTAAAGAGGGCACAACTATCCTAACTCTACTTTTTATTTAGTTTATTCAGACCTTTCACATATATATATAGAAAACATATATATCATTTAAAATTGATCAAGGAAAATCATAAAAATTATAAAATGTCAAAACAACAAAAAAATTAAAAAATATGAAATTTTCTCTTTTCTTTAACTAACATATATTTTATTTTGTTTCATATGCGACATGCAAAAAGAGAAAATTTTGTGAAGAAATTTGAAAAAAGAACAAGAAAAGGACTCAATCGAAGGAATTTAAAAGTTGAGGATAAAATCTACCAAGATAAAGCCACAAATCCAATCTAAACCCCAAATATTGAGCCACTAGCCCACTTTCACAAACCAGCTCATTAAAACCCAAACCCAATAACAAAAAATCCTAGTTTTCCTCTCGGGGGAGCCACATCGAAAAAGGGGGGACCAGCAGACAAAAAACCTTTCTGCTTTCCCTCGGCTATTCTCCTTTCTAGCCAAAAAAAAAAAAAAGAAAAATCTTCTACAACCGGTGAGCTTCTCCCCCCCAGCCCCAGTTGACTCCGATCTTCACTGTCTCCTTGCCGATTTCGTCATCATCATAGTCTCCATCACCAGCATCTTTGCCGAGGCTTCCAGATCCTTCTCTCGGAAACCTCCCAAATTTCAGCTACCATCACCACCTGCTTCTTCTTCCAGCCCCTAATTTCCATTATCATCCCCATCTTCACCGTCATCTTTTCGATCTCATCATCACCAATATCTCCGGTCATCAAGCAGCTCAAAAAAAAAAAAAAACGAAAAGAAAAGAAAAGAAAAGACGGAGCAGATCTGGGTTTGACGAGGAAGGGGTTTGGCAGCCAAAAATAAGGGGACTTTTTCCCCTACTCTAAGCATTCCCTTTTTCTATTCTTTTCTTTCCTTTCTTCCTGTCATGCCCCAGAACCCAAATCCGAGGCGCGACAAACACCGTGCACTCATGAGACGGGTCCCACAAGTGCACAGGGCTTGGAACTTATCATATCACACTCTGATACCACCAAAATCTAAAGATCAAATTATAAAATTCTCTCTGATATCATAAAATCTCCAAATACAAGATCATGATTTATTTCTAAAATCTATATCAATCTCGAAATGGCTAGTTTTCTAACTCGTCACTTCTCGTGGTTTTCCTGTCCTCGGTTTCACTTCCTGAAATGGTGGACAAGGAAAAACTATGAGATAAACTCAGTAAGTAAAATATGGAGTGCCCCTTATTAAACTTATAGCATGCCAACAAGTGCAATCACGAAAAACGGATACAGTACGGGAACGAAATAGATGTCTCCTCTATAGGTCACGGCCAACGTATTAAACTTCCCACTGGCAGGCTACACTTGAACGAACCAGTTCTATCAATAACATGTCGACATGTGCTAGCGTTTAACCCCCACTAACAGGATTACAATAACATAACCACATCGGAGACAAAACAGGCAGAAGTTAACAGAAAATCATTCTTTACAATTAACTTTCAAATCATCAGGACAATCAAATGAACTTCAAGTAGGCATGCTCAAATCCATAAAAATCATAAAAACTTTCAGTTCAAATCAGTCATACTTATTTTGTATAAAACGGGTTTAGTCCCGCCACCACTTCAAAAACAAATCAAATTAAAATGTGCTTTAAAATCGGAGGGCGTTACCATAATTTACTTACCTCATTCGCATAAAACTGAGCACTCAATGTCAGTGCTAACTGACAAGACGATCGGGAACCTAATCAAATATTCAAGGATTAATTCCACTATCACAAATTCACACTAAAATCATCATTAAGACTACTCTTAATCATGATGCTATTTCTATAAATCTCCACATTATCAGATATCTCCAAATTTGTTCTTATATCACAAACTAAACACTTAAATCCCCGTTAATTGTTGGCCCTCGGTGTGTGAACAGTAATCTGTGAACAGCACCCGTGAACAGTAAACACGACGTGAACAATAACTCTACTTCCACAAATTGGCCAAAACACTAACTAATTCATGGGATTTTCTCCAAAAATCACACAGCAGTCAATTAACACTCAATCACATAAATCTCACTTGAATCAAGCTAAATCATGGTCTAATTACTATCAATTTTCTCCCCTATTTTTCTGTCAAATTCGGACAACACAGCCAGCAAACTAAATGGACAATTTAAGCCATAAAAGGCTATCACATACCATAATTTTCCTAGCACAACCGAACTGCAATTTGGGGGAAGAGCCGACGGCATGGAAGAAGAAATCCTGCAGGGAACTCACGGGTTTACCCAAAAATTGGAGAAAATAAGAGCAATCAAAGTTAACCCAAGCTAATTCAAGCAAAAACAAAGGAATTAGGGGCTGTTCTTACCGAAAATTCAAAGCAATTCGCCCCCACAAGGCAGGAGCAGCCGGCGGTGAGGAAGGAAGAACAGAGCAGATCCAGATTTCCAGCAGGGGGGAGAATTTCTGGGTTCCAAATCAGGTTCTTGGACAAGAAAAGAGGAGAAAAACACAAGCTTCTCACTGGTTTTCTCAAAGGCTGGCTAGGTTTCTTTTTTTTTTTTTTTCTTCGGGTGGCTGCAGCGGGAAGAAGAAGAGCAGAATCGGGAAATGGTTGGGGAAGAAAAGAAGGAAAAAGGAGAAAAGAAATAAGCCATCCTTATCCAAATTCTTTCCCTCTTTAAGTCCCTCAACTTTTGAAATATTCACATTAGGCCCCAAAACAACATTCTCTCACAATTAAACCCTTAACTAAGTGCTAAAATAGCACAAAATTTTGGGGTATTACACTTCCATCAGGATATTTTGCGGATCTGGATTTTGGAGAGAAGAAAGAGGTTTTTTGTTTTGGGGTTGGTCTAAAAAATGGGTCCTGGAGTCGGAGAAAGGGGATTTCTGTTTGGAGGGGGCGGCGGTTGAGAGGAAGGATCATTGAACTTCCAGAGGAGCTTCATTTTCTAGGTTTCATCGCTGAAGGTATTCTCTGAAACAGAGGGGGTTTTGGAAAGGTAGTGAAGGAGCTGGTCCCATGGGTGGGATCCCTCCCATCAAATCTGGATTTATTTTGCCGTGGGTGTTTCTGGTATTTTTGTTGATTTTTGTTGTAATTTTCTTCAGGGTGTATGTTTAAGCTGGTATTTGGTTGCTAGAAAATGAATGGAATCAAAGATTATCTGTTTAGGGTAAATATTCTTTTTAGTCCCTCTACCTTCTATTATAGGGAAAAACCTTTTTAGTCATTGTACCAAAAAAAGCTTTTTTTTGGTCTTATTGTTTATAAATTTGATTTTTTTTAGTCATTTCATTAAATTTTAATTGATATCACAGCTTAATTAATGGAATTATTTAATTATTTTTTTATACAAATAATATTATAAATAATGTGAAAATTACGTGGATGCCATTTATACAAATTGAAAAGAGCAATGCTAGGGGCACTAGCCTCTTGCACTCTTCGGCCAACACTTCATTTTTTTATTGGGGCACGGAAGCTTGTTTCTGGCTTTGTAGTTCAATCTCTTCCAAAAACCAGAATAATGTGGCCCAATAAAAATGAAGGTGTTGGTTAGAGAGTGTAGGAGGTGAGTGCCCCTAGCACTACTTAATTAAAAATTTTGCATTTTAATTTATGAATTAAATGAATTTAAATAGGATTAATTTTAATTTCTTCATCTTCTTCTTTCTCCTCGTCCTTATCCTAGTTTCATCCTCATTTTCATCCTCATCCTCATCCTCATCCTCATCAATATCATGTTCGTCATTCTCTTCATCGTAGGTTGCTTGCAGAACCCCTTGCTAGGTTCCTCAAACTTAGTTTTCTGGGTTACTCACAAAACCCAAAAAAAATGAGATTATCCTTAAATTTCTCGATGTCTTATCAAAATTGTTTTACAAATGAGATAGACCAATAATGCAGTAGAATTACCAATAACCACACACAAGATCGGGTCACATTCTTAATAAAATTGAACAAAAATCACAAAAATAAGATCTAAGCATCAAAATTTGATATAACAAAAAACAAATTGATGCCTCATTGTGCCATAAATCTGTGCAAAATGAGAAGAAAAGATACAACGTTGATTCAGATGACTCGAAACTCCTTAATG